TACAGGGTGTCCAAAAAAATGTAGAAAGTTCTCTCGGATTCAGATAGAACATAAAAAAAATTAAGATTCCATAATTTTTTTTCCTAGCGGCCCTCCCTACGGAGATACGGCCTCCAAAACGACGCCACTGGAAATTATTTTTTCTTGAATAACTTTTAAACTACGTAATATAATTTAATGAAAATTTATTATGATAAACAGTACTAAAAAACCTTTTAAAATACTGCCCTTTAAACATAATTAGCTTGTTTAGTTTACCAGGGGCGAACTAGGTTGTACATTTTAATGCTTACATTTTTAACACCCTGTATAATAAGGAGTTAAAAAATAAATTTCGATACCTTGAACATTAAGCTGAAGAAAAGATACTCTTCTTCATTGTCGATAAAATGAACCGTTTTCGAGAAAAAAATAATAATAAAAGAATTAATGTTTTATTTTTATTAAAAAATTAAACTCCCAGAATTAACTAATTTCAAATTGGTAAATTCTAAAATACAACATCCTGAACTCACTAAAACTTGTAACGATTGAACCTAAATACGCTAGGAAAGGGGCTACACTGGTTCCCCCTCATTCCCCATGTTAAATCCCATAAGAAATCGCTAAGGTCCATTCTACTAAAAAGTGGAGTAGTTTGCGCATGCGCATTTATAAGGTATGAGATAAGACGGGATTAAGGTTGTTATAATAATGGATGTTAGGTGTAAGAGATTTTCAGCAATTAATAGGTTGGGAATCTAGGACATGGGGATGTAAGGTAAGAAGGGGCAAAGGTTAAATCTTTTAATTATTAGTAATAAATGCGTTTTGAATGTTAGATGTAAGAAGGGCCAAAGGTTGAAACTATTTTTATTTTTAAATCATTATTAAAAAGTCTAGTATTTGGAAAGTTGGCAGGGTTGCAACTTAGGTAAGAGGTGTTAAAATTTAACGGGATTATTAGTATTAAAATGTTGGGAATTTTGAGGCATGAAGATTTGCAACTCAGATATTGTTATTATTATCGGTAATGCAGATTTTATACTTATCGATTGGTGAAGTTAGTTACTGTCTGCACCAGCACTTAAAAAATTTCAAAAAATCAAATTATATTATAAGCTCGTAATTAGGGAAGGTGGTTGTTCTCTCAATAGGATCTTGGACACCAATGCTTTTTAAATTTAAAACGTGTAGTTCACTCTGGACAGTAGAGTGCTGGTGTGGACATTTAAGTAAAGATTGGACAAATATTGCTAATAATTTAAATGGGGGAAAGTTATTTAAAATAGGGTAAAGTCAACATTGAACAATGAAAATAAAATATATTTTATTTCAAAATTACATTTTTAAAGTAACAGTATTAAGTATTTACAGTAATTCAATGAGTTTCAAAATTGTCTCTATTTGAAGCTTAGCTTTTTTATTTAGGCCCATTTTCAGTAAACTTGTTATTAGTTTCTTTTTCTTAATTTGTTTTTCTTTGTAATGATTCCTAATTTCCATTCCCCGTCCTGTTTTGTAAAATTGTCTTCGTTTATCGTTAGCTTCTTCCCTCCGCCTTATTCCTTCGGCACCTCTATCACATCTATATGTGGCTTTATCATAAAGTTCTTCTTCTGATGTGTATTTTTCTAACCTCCAAGACCATCTCCATCCCTTTTAAGCGGCTTTTGTCCATCGGCACAGGTGATGCATCTGAGGACACCAACAGCATGGTCCAAACAAATTATTTTCTTGAAAGTTGTTTTTGAATGGAGTCGTGTACCAGTGCGCTGTAGTTTTTTCTTGTAGGCTAACATTGTAAATCCATTAGTAAAATGTATTAAAGCGTGAAGATGTTCATCTGCTGTACTACCATCGTCTGCTATCCAACCATCGACAAATAGAATACCATTTAATATTTGGAGCACAAGCAAGTAAATTAAAGTCCTTTTCATTTAATATTAAGTTTGGATTTTTGGAAAATTCTTCGTAATCTTTTGCCATTTTCTGTGGCGACAAAGCGTTAATTTCATTTGGATTCAAAAGAGTCAAATAATCAGTTTTTGACAATGAAGACATTTTTTGTTATTTTTAGAAAAGGTACTCGTAGAAAATGTCTCAGTAGACTGGAAGAGTCTTTAATGTCTCAATACCTTTAAAAAATAATTTATTACCCCCACCACCAAGATTTTTGGGCATGCGCAGTAGTACAAACGAACGTGATGCGACATGCGTTCCCGTGAACGAAGGTTAGGTTAGGAGGCCATATGAGAAGTTCTAAAACAATTTACCAAGAAAAGAAGAAAAATAAGAAAATAATGAAACACGTGCTAATGCAGATAGTAATTAACTTCACCAATCGTTAAGTATAAAATCTGCATTACCGGTAATAATAACAATATCTGAGTTGCAAACATTCATGCCTCAAAATTCCCAATACTTATAATCCCGTTAAACTTTAACACCTCTTACTTAAGTTGCAACCCTGCCAACCCTCCAAACACTAGACTTTTTAATAATGATTTAAAAATAAAAATAATTTTAACCTTTGTCTCATCCAACATCCAAAACGCATTGGTTAAATAAAAGATTTAACCTTTGTCCCTTCTTACCTTACATCCCCATATCATAGACTCCCAACCTATTAATTGCTGAAAATATCTTACACCTAACATCCATTATTATAAAAACCTTAATCCCTTCTTATCTCATACCTTATAAATGCGCATGCACAAACTACTCCACTCTTTAGTAGAATTAACCTTAGCAATTTATTATGGGATTTAACATGGGAAATGAGGGGGAACCATTGTAGCCCCTTTACTTACGCTAATTAAAAATAATCAATTAAACACTTTATAAATGGGTTCAACATGTGCTCCGTGAACTCTGATACACTCGCGGGCCCGACGAATAGAGGACTGCTAGCTGTACTCGACACAACAACCCAGCATTGTTCCTCATCACATCACAATGAAATGTGATTCTCTGTAAAAGTTTCTCCCTAGTATCAACCGAAGAGGAATACACCAAGGTTTTGAGATGACCCCACAGGTGAAAATCCATTGGCGTTAGGTCAGGAGACCGAGGAGGCCAGGCAATTGGACGCTAAAGTGAGGCGGGTTTCAAGTGACAAATACTCTATTGAATCCAGAAAAACGTTCTGAAGGAACTATAAATAAAGTTCACTATTCAATCGTGGTGGCAATACGCATGGTCCAATAAAAAAATTGCCGATTATTCCTGTCCAAACATTAATTGATTGGAACTGATGTTGATAATGATGAACAATAGTGGCATGAGGGTTTTCATCAGCCCATACATACGAGTTATGTAAATTTACAATACCATTTTTGGTAAACCCTGCTTTATCGGTAAAAATAATAGTGCTAATGAAGTTTCCGTTTGTTCGTGGCTGATCTAACATCCAGTTTGAGAACTGGATTCTTCGAGCAAAATCTTCAGGAAGTAGTTGATGTACTTTTTGCAGATGATAAGGGTATAACAACTGTTTTTTAAGTACTTCAGCAATTGTCGTTCTTGACTCATGAAGCTGCGCGGCTAATCTTCGAGTGCTTATTAAAGGAGTATCAGCTACATTATCAAAAATATTTTCCCACAGTTGCACCGTACGAACTGTTCTTGTCACATCAGCATCAGTACTTGTTTTCCCATAACCTTCTAAAAATTATTAAAGAAAGTCAATAATGTTACCCTATTAACCGGGAATCGCCCACCAGTCTCTCTTAGACGTTGGTCAAGTCGCTGAAATGTTTTCTCATTTGGAATATTGCGATATCTTTCTTCATAGAACCTTCTTGTTTCATAAGCATTGCAAAATGCAAGACCGTACATAAGATGTATATCTGCATACTCACTAAATCTGTATCCCATTATCGAATTAAATTTACCAAGATATTTAAATTTCAATAAATTAATATCGGAGTACTAAAAGATCAACGTGTCAACAAAATTTAAAATGCACACGTCAATGCAATAATTCATTTATTTATTTCGTAGGTACCATAGTAACGTTGGTAAAAACAGTTCTATTTCAATGACTTTCGTATAACATTTTGCTGCAGATAAAAAAAATTTGCTTTCTTTTTAATAAAAATAAAACATTAATTATTTTATTTTTTTTTTCTCAAAAACGGTTCATTTTATCGACAATGAAGAAGAGTACCTTTTCTTTGGCTTAATAATTAAGGGATCGAAATTGATTTTTTTAACTCCTTATTATACAGGGTGTTAAAAATGTAAGCATTAAAATGTACAACCTAGTCCGCCCCTGGTAAACTAAACAAGCTAATTATGTTTTAAGGGTAGTATTTTAAGAGGTTTTTACTAGTGTTTATCGTATTAAATTTTCAATAAATTATATTACTTAGTTTGAAAGGTATTCAAGGAAAATTGATTTCCAGTTGCGTCCTTCTGGAGTCCCTATATCTGTAGCGAGTGCCGCTAGGAAAAAAAAAAATATGGGAACTTATTTTATTTTAATGTTTTATCTGAATCCGAGAGGCCTCCCACATTTTCCTGGATACCCTATATACAAAATATAATTGTTTTTTATATAAAAAAATTCTGTATAATTTCAAACCTAGCTTTTAGGAAAACTAAACCAATATTTTGAAATGTGATGTTTTATTATTGTCCTGTGTTAGTTGTAGGGGTTGTAACGGAAAGAAAACATGTAAATGTCGTTATTTTTAGAGAAAATTCGTAGGTCAATGATTCCACGAGGTGTAGATACCAAAAGTACATCTTTTTTCGAGTACTTTAAAAAATCTCCGTTCCTTAAGACTTCTTTGCAACCCCTAGGCACACTTTATAAACGGTTTTCAATATTAAAATTAAAACCAGGAAGTATATTTTTCCCGAAAGCTAGGTTTAAAGTAAACCGCGCATATACGGCTGAAAACAACCTGCTGTTTGTTAAACTAATAAATAAATTGCATTATATATCTATCGGTACACTTAGACCTATTTCGAATTATAAAGTTATCACTAAACTCTATATTTATACATTTTAGCGATATTTTTTCAACGTCATCAAATAAAATTAATTTAAAAATGGAAGAAAACAATATCGAATGCGGAATTATTCCTGATCATTGCTCAAATACTATTTACCGTTCTTATGATGGTTCATGTAATAATTTAAAAAATCCAACATGGGGAACTCCTAACACTCCGTATAACAGGTTATTACCTCCGAAATATTCAGATGGTAAGTAGTATTTTATACACACTGAAATATTAAAATAAAATGTGCTAAATATTTTTAAAAATGTACGGTATATTACATTTTCCGTCGACCGACCATTTATGATGTATTTTAACGCACTCAAAATCGTTGATTAATGACCCCTATTAATGAATGATTTTCTATTAATCAATTTTGGCGTTGAGATTTCGATTTCGTCAACTACTGTACGTAGAGCCGGGCCAAGATGAGTTTGGTACACAACATGGCGACGACAAAAGTTGCGCACTGGCTGTTGCCTAGCAACGACGCTCGGTGAAGCCAAACTTAGTCATTCAGTGGCGTAACTTGGGTCGAGTATATACAAAGTGAATAGAAGTGAATAGAGTGCGAAAAGTGACAAATTTATATAATTATAGTGCCTTGTGATTTATATTATGTTTTTCAAAGAGAATCGGATTAAAAGGGAGGTCCCTTAATAGTCAAACAAGAGAAATTGTATATAGTATTACTAAATTTATGGAAAAAGAAGCAAATGAAGGATTTCAAATTCCTCTAAAAAATTATCGGTGAGTATGATAATATAGCATTTATTTTATAACAGTCGTATACATAACAAGTAGTAAGAAGCGTTAGAAGCGTTGGCGGCTAGTGCAATAATTCCACGAGCATATAATTATCTACAATCAGAATTATACATTCATAATAACGAGAAGGTTTTCATAATTTATAACATTTAATAAAAAAATTGTAAATTGCAAATGCAAATACTGAATTAACTGAAGAACAATTGTTTTAGAAACAAACATTTGTTAATAGTATTGCGAATCAACAGTTTCTTTTAAAATTAATATTTAAAATATTTACCTATTTCATCAAAAAAAATTTTGCTTTTAAAACCATCTGATTACCGTTTAACATATAACAGATTGCCCATAATTATGAAGGTTTGAATAATTGTTCCATAAGTTCCCCAAAATAAATATGCCGATTTTTTTATTTCTAAAACGTCGAAACTGTCGTAACCATAGCGATCACCTAGATTGAAAAATAAGCTTTTACCAATGATACTAAAATTTCAAATATTCAAGTTGAATCCATTGCGTAGACAAGAGCTTGGCAATCAATAATTACATTAATAAGTATTTATTATGTATTTAATATATGTAATTTAATAATAATATTGGTAAATTGGTACTTAAATAAGTCCTCTATTTCTTAATAGGTATTATTGTATACCTGTTAATACGCAATTCCCAGAATTTGAAAATAGGAAGTCAAATATTCAAATTGATCTATTATGTAGACAATACATAATTAATATCAAATCAATGGTAATCATGGCCAAAACGGGCGTACAAAATAGGGGCTGACACAGGTAGCTTCACCTCTATATATACAGGGTGTCCCGAAATTAGACGGTCATATTTTAACAGCGTAATCTACATCATAAAATAGGAATAAAAGTTCATATAAACATATGTCCGAAAACGTTTCTTTTCCGAGATACAGGGTGTTAAAAGTGAAGTCCTGATGACACACTTTTGTAAATATTTTCTAAACGTTTAAAGATAACTAAGTGAAATTTGGTAAAAATGCTCTTTTTACGCTCTATTTAATGGACCAAACCCCAGTTTTTAATCATCTTTATAGGTGGGTAAATTAGGGGGGGCTTAGGGTAAAATTGCCCTAAGTTTTTTTGTTGGCAGTTTTTACCATTTTTGACTATAAAATTTGAAAAACCCATGATTTATTTACAATAAAGTTACTTTTGTTGCATCCCGCTAAGACGCACCATTTTCAAGAAAAAAACATTTGACAGTTTCATGATAAGTTATTCGAAAATGTAAACAATAATTAGTATGTCTGTGAAATCAGAAATTTAATTTTTTTACTTTGGAAAAACCGGTGACTAAAGAAATTTTAAAAAATATTTACAAAAATATGCCATCAGGACTTCACTTGTAACACCCTGTATCTCGAAAACGAAACGTTTTCGGACCTATGTTTGTATGAACTTTTACTCCTATTTTAGGATATAGATTACGCTGTTAAAATATGACCGTCTAATTTCGGGACACCCTGTATATATATTAACTGTAATTAATAAACTTATTGTCGGTTTAATTAATCTTAATAAATAAAACAAAGTAGGGTTAGTTGCACCATTTATAACTGAAGAACGGCTAGAACGAGTTAAATGCGATCTTTTATTTATAGAATTCGTCTCCACCCTGAATAGCAAAATAACTATTAAAATATCAAAAAATTCATAGAAAAAAAATATATATAAAATAGCTGGTTTTAAATGACTTCATTTGGAACAGACATTACCGAAGAACACGGATTTAATCCGATATTCAAGGTAATTTATGTTATACCAAATTTGTTCTAATGTAGGTTAAATTAGAGGTAGAAAAGTGTTGTTAGGTCTCTGTATTTGTCTGTAAAATAAAGCCATGCTAACATTTTAAGACTGTTAGGCAATACGAAGTTCGATGGGTGAGCTAGTTTTTTAATAATTATAAAAGCATATGCTTCAAAAAATAAAAAAAAAAACTTTACTTATTCGCTTACTCTGTTTAGGGAACTGGTATTAGTAAAAATACTTTTATATACAATTTTTATTCAATTGAAAAGCGATCACCTACTCTTATTTTAACTAATTCTAGGTATTTTGCAAAAGATGCATGATTGTCAACTTGATTTCAGTGGAGGCAAAGAAACTTTAAGAAAACTGATACACTCTATTGGTTTTAGGTAAGTAGAATATACTGATCTATTTAACAGAATATTAATGATTTGTTACTTGTAGGTGGAGAAAGACAGAAGACAATAGGGGCGTATTGTTTGAAAAATACGATATTCGTTTCAAAAGAATACAATTTCTTAAAGAAATGATTCAGTACCGATCTGAAGGCAGAAATATTATCTACACCGATGAAACTTATATCCACAGCAGCCATACTCAACCACATCGTTGGTCAGATGAAAGCGGTCAAGAATTAAAAAAACCTATATCCACAGGAAAACGACTTATTATTGTACATGCTGGTGAAAAAAATGGATTTATACCAAACGGCTTATTAATTTTCAAATCGGGTATGGTTTACTAAGTTGTTTAATCTATTACATAATAACATGGAAAATGCAAAATTTTATTTTATTTTCATTTGGATCATAAATAATGTTTTTTTCATTCTTGACAACTCTTCCGTTGACACTGTGTATATTTTATATAGATAATTTTGTATATTTTATGAAGATAATTTTATAGAAATATATACAATATTTATTGGTATCTTTCAGGATCCAAAAGTGGCGACTATCACGATGATATGAACCACGCAAACTTTATGAAGTGGGTTGAAATACAGCTGTTGCCTAATTTGCCGGAGAAATCTGTATTAGTTATAGACAATGCTTCATACCACAATGTAACTGTGGAACGAAATATAACATCAGCAAGTCTCAAATTAGCCATGACAAAATGGCTAAAAGAAAAAGACATACCTTTTCAGGAATCAATGACAAAACCGGAATTGTACAAAATTATTAAAGATAATAAATACAGATTTCCGGTAGTTTATAAATTAGACAGATTATTGGAGGCACACGGTCACAAAGTCCTTCGGCTTCCACCCTATCACCCTGATTTCAACCCAATTGAAAAAATATAGGCTTCTGTAAAAAATTGGGTAGTACCTAGAAATACCACATTCACTTTAATTAATGTAGAATCGTTAACATGAGAAAGGTTTGCAACATTGCAAGTAGAAGAGTGGGTCAACATTTGTCGACATGTCAAGGAATATGAAGCTACACAAATTAAAAAAGAACATTTGTTGGACTCCACAATGGACCATTTAAGGTTTACAGTAAATACTGGATCATCGGATGAAAGTTGGTCAGAGGATGAAGACAGTGATGTAAGTTTAGGAGTACAACAGCTCTCTGATTTAGAATCGGACGAAAATTAGATTTGTGTCTCTATTTATATGTTTTTTTGTAATATATAAGTATTTTAATATTGTCTTATTTTATTATCACATATACACATATATAAAAAAAATTATTTAGAATAAAATTCACATCATAGTACCTAGTTAGTAATTAATCATAATACATAATTTAAAATAAAAAAGGTAATACAAATTACTAAACGTCCGCCTCTGTCTCTGACGTCACACCTTCGCGCAGGGTCGAGCACGTGGCTGTACCAATCTCATCTTGGCCGGCCTCTAGACGTGAACGTAAAGAATAATTGAATACGCATGCCTAGATGTCATTTTCATGTATATGTTTACGTTCATAGCATCACTCAAACTCTCTAATATCAAACAGCGCCATGAATGGCTAACAAAGTAATACATTTTTTTTAATAGGTATAAAGGATCCCCCTTTATCTAAATCTGGTAAACCTCTACCACTTGCTCGTTCTATTAGCCTACTTCTTTATCCAGATGTGCCAGTCGAAGATCATATATTTACATTAAATCTCATGCAATATGGACAAATAATAACACACGACTTAAGTATGACGACAGGGAGTAGCCAAACTCGTAAGTAACAAATATTTTAGATTTAGGCGCAAATATGTTCTTGAACATCAAATATTAGCCATTGCAAAGCAAAGGGTCTTTAAAAATATCTATATCCTAAGTGATCTTGTAAAACAAAAATAAAATGGCCTTTTTTAGGAATTTTTATGATAACTTGCCCCTTCTGTCTAATATTTCATTTTTTTTTTTTGGTTACTGTTGATTAATTTTACTTTTGGTAAAACTGGCTACATCAATTTGATCACATGGCCTATGGATATTGTTACAATACTCTGTACCACGGTTCGTAGACAACACGGTGGCCTTTTATAATGTATCTATAGCAGCGGTCGCCAACCTGTCGATCGCGAGCTACCGGTAGCTCGCGGAGGCAATTCTAGTAGCTCTCACAACGATTTTAATTTAAAAAATAGAAACTGCCAAAATCAGAGAAGCTTCCGAAAATTCCACAAAAAAATCTAATTGTCATAATATTAAACATAAACAGCGGCAACGTTGCGGTGAGCGATCTGCCGCTGACGCCATCAAGCTAGAATCGGCTAGAACCGACCAGCCGGATCAGCGCGTTAGTGTTCGAGAACGATCAGGATTGCTTTGAACGGGATAAATACGCACGGCGCGGCGACATTGCGCTTAGTTTAAAACTGAACGCGTAACCAACGTCCAGCATTTGGGTTAGTAGAAAACAACAAAAAATAATATTATGGCAAGCAGTTGTAAGAAGGTAAAGACATGCCACTTTCATTCGGAATGGGAAGAACAATACTTTTTTACAGAAGTTAACGATAAAAATGTGCGTTTGTTATGTAATACTTCGGTCTCCGTTGCTAAAAAAGGAAATATTGAGAGACATCATAAAACTACATTCTAATTTTGAAAAATCATTCCCACTACATTCTGCCGCCAGAAAGGAGAAAGTGTAACAGTTAAAAAAGCAGTTAATTGGACAACAATTAATATTTTTAAGAACAGTCGACAAAAATAGGGCTGCAACTGAAGCATCGTACCGTGTGTTCCAGATAATTGCACAAAAAAAGAAACCTTATGAAGACGGGGAAATGATAAAACAGGCGTTTTTAGAAGCTGCTGATTCGTTATTTGCCAACTTTAGAAATAAAGACGAGATAGTTTCAGTTACAAAATCTATGCAACTTTCTGCTAATACAGTGATGAGACGTGTTGAAGTAATGAGCAATGATATTTTTTACAGTTAAGAACTGACTTATTTTTCACTTCAACTGGATGAATCAACAGATGTCGTTGACACTTCCCAGATGGCCGTGTTCGTCAGGATGTTTTTAGTGATTTTACGATTAAAGAAGATCTTTTGAAGTTTATTCCACTGAAAGGACACACTACTGGACAGGAGTTGTTTTCTCATTAAAAAAATATTATTTCTTCCGAGAAAATTCCAATATCGAAAATGGTAGGCTTGACAATCGATGGCGCTCCAGCTATGGTAGGTTGTGATAAGGGTCTGGTGGCGTTATGTCGTAAAGATGAAACTTTTCCGCAATTTCTCTGTTACCACTGCATTATCGATCAGCAAGCATTATGTGGAAATTTCCTAAAACTAAACAACGTTATGGTAAAAATTGTGAACAAGATTAGAGCTCAAGCGTTACAAAGAAGATTATTCAAAACCTTGGCTGATGAAGTTGACTGTCAATACGGGGACCTACTCCTTCACTCTGAAGTTCGATGGTTAAGTAGAGGACGAATGCTAAAACGTTTTAATGATGTCCTATCTGGCATAGTTCAATTTTTCAAACAACGCGATGAACCGACTCCAGAATTAGAAAATTCAATCTGGCTTAGAGATTTTGGTTTTCTCGTGGACATTACAGAGAAATTAAACGAACTTAATTTGCAGCTTCAGGGGAGAGACAAAGAACTAGCGGAAATGATTTCTGATATAAAAGCATTTATCAAAAAGCTGGAGTTTTGGGAACAAAACCTAATTAACAGCAATGCCAAGCATTTTCCTATTCTTTCAGAAAAAATATCTCAAAATCCATTAGAACCCTATGACAGCAAATATCATGTAGAAATAGTTTCTACCCTGAAGAATAACTTCAAAAATCGTTTAAAGGATTTCAACGAAATGGCTTTAGTAGCGCAGTTTGTTGTTTCACCCTTTATGGAAATTGATATCCAACAGTTTGCAACTTGTGTTATGCAGAAATTTGGCGAAGACATCGCTGCAACAGAAATGGAAGTAATTGAGTTTCAAAATGATTTAGCCTTAAAATCGTTAGTCTCAAGTACCAAATGTATCTGGCCTATTGTAAGTAAAGACAAATATTCAGTTCTATGCCATGTTGCCTTGAAAGTGAAAGCATTATTCAGTTCAACCTATTTGTGTGAATCTTCTTTTTCCAATATGAAGTTTATTAAGAACAAATATCGCAATCGACTTACAGATGAACATTTGGATAATTGTATTCGAATGGCTGTATCAAATTATACTGCAAACATTAAAAAAATTATCGATGAGTCTGAGTGTCAGCCTTCTCATTGAACGTGCTTTTCTATTTTTCAATGTTTGTGTTCATGATAGTGCGTTACTTTTTTGTTGTTATTATTAACTATTTTTAAATCTTACGTGACATGCCGTTGTGGCTGGATAAAAGTTTGAGTTTATTTTTTAAACACCTTCGTTTGGTAGGTAGGAATGTAGCTATAAACAAGTACGTACTAGTAATATTAGTTATTTTGTTATTAGTTTATTATTAGTACCTATGTATTATGTATTACCAGTTAAATAGTAAAATAAATACATATAATGATAAATTAACTGTGGATTATTTCATTTACATTGCGTTACGTGGCTTCCGTGTGGGTAGCTCGCTGTTTATTCCAAAATTAACAAAGTAGCTCAACACATTGAGAGGTTGGCGACCACTGCTCTATAGTGTTGCACAAATTTAAAACTCTCAATGTTCTCGAGATACATAACATCGCGAAGTATTCCCAGTGGCGCGCATATAAATACAAGTTTATGTTATCAAATCTTTATAACATTTTTGCTTTGACCAGAGGTCCGGTATGTCTTAATTGAAAAAATATCAAACTAGATACTGACCGAGTTATCAAGGATTAATTTTAGAATTGAGATATTTAAGAAGTTAATAATAATAATAAAAGTCTTTATTTTTGTCCACATCCATAATAACAAAAATACAGTAATTAACTTAGATAAAAAGTAATTAAACAATTAATTGAGATAGGGCTTAAGAAAAAAAAGCCGAAGATCAGGTGGATGTGTCATATGTTTCAAAGAAACATAGACACAAGCTCTGTTTTTCATCTATGTTAATTCACCAAGATGTGTCACTCTAGCCACACCAAGCAGGCTGCTATTTTATAGTCAATTTTTTATAACATTGGGGGAGCCATACATGAGTAGAAAAGTAAAAATGGGCAAAATAAAGATCCTTTAGATCTCAGAAGGTTTATTAAGGACCAATTTTATATTCAAAGACAGATTTAACAAAACAAAGTTTTTCTTTAAAGTAAAGTTAAAACCGAATTGCAATATGCTATTTTCATATTTAAAAGTTACACTAGTCAATTCGCTCAATTCAAAAATTATATATTGTAAACTGTTTTAGAACATTACAAAAATAGATGTTGTTCAGAAGACGGACAACTGCTGGATCTAGCCGAAGTTCCTGCTCATTGTTACCCAATGATTATCCCACATGATGATCCTGCTCATTCCCATGATAATACCAGATGTATGAGCTTTGACAGAACAGTAACTAATAAGGACAGAAACTGTGCTTCGAGACATTATACTGCAGAACAGGTAAAATAATTAATCGTACAATTCAAGAGCCACTTCCAGGGAGGAAGCCATGCGCCCCACCCCCGAAATTCAGATATTAGTCAACTTCTTTTGTTATTTAAAATGTTCAAGGGAACAACTATATTGCGCAAGGGGTCGAAATAAGTGTAAATTTTGTATTGTAGAAATGTGCTTAAACAGAAATCAATAGCATTTTCTCAAATATTTAATTGAAATTGGAAATTATACCTTTCATTTTTTAAAATTTAAGAATGTTAATTTTTAATACAATGGGCCCGTTCACTTTCATTTTTGATTGTGAATTAATTATATATTTATAAAGATATTAAACTCTTTTGTCTAGTGGTACTTTTCCCGTTAAGATATGTTTGCTAGAAGTAAGGGAATTCCCATAAAATTCTTTCAGTGACTCATTGCGTCAGAAAATCCCTAATTCCGTTCACGTCTCGTATCGGTTATGCTTAAAGACGGCGAGGTTGTCGGAAGTATCCCTAATATAGCATTTCTGCATTTATATATGTAATTTAAATAGTAAAATTCCATTATTTTTCTAAAAATCATGAACTTATATTTTCAGATTAAAGCTGGGAGCTTATTTTTTACTTTTTAATTAAAACAATTATTATTACTCAGGCTAAAAATTAACCAGACCATAATCAAAGAGTAGAAATTGGATTTGCAATATTTATCTGGTAAACGTAGCAACGTTGCATTTATTTCTAGAAGTGTGTGTAGACAACACTATTTAGAAGTACTTACAACGTTGTCACGTTTACCAGATACATTTTCTCAAATAAAATTTCGATCTGGTAATATTCAGCTTGAGTAATACTAATTGTTTTTATTAAAATTTAAAAAAGGTAAGGCTTCCAGCTTTATCTGAAAATATAAACACATTATTTTTAAAAAATAATATATTTTTATCATGTAAATTTCTTTAATAAATGCAGAAGAGGAATGGTGGTGCAATAATACATCCGACAACCGCGCCCTTTTAACTATTAACGGATACAAGACCTGAAGGGAATTAGGGGTTTTCTGACGCAATGAGTCACTGAAAGAATTTTATGGGAATTCCCTTACTTCTAGCAAAAATATCTTAACAGTAAAAGTTACACCAGACAAAAGAGTTTAATATCTTTAAAAATATATAAATATTTCATATTCAAAAATGAAAGTGAACGAGCCCATTGTTGAAATATTGTCCGGCCGCCTTCCAGGGCTATGTGCATTGCTCAACTGGACATTACATGACAGAATTATAAAACGTGTTTCACGATCGGTTTCACCGCGTATTTGGGGCTCATCAGGCAGTAGGATTCAGCTCAAATAGAATATCTAATCTACTCTGAAGATAGTTTGATCACTCGAAAAATACATTAGAGTGCCTTACCATCCATATAAAGAGCCAATAGTCACGCCATCTTCACTGAAATGCCCAAATCATAGTCCGGCGCTAATTAGTAGGTAATCCACTAAACTAGACACCGTTGTATGAAGATAATATGGTAGGATAATGCAACAGTAAAAAGTGTTGGACGCAATCTCGAGCGGCATCTAGTGACGATTTAATGAAGTAGTCAATTTTTAATGCTATGCAGATACGCCATCTACGTCTTCTTTTCGTTCAAGCACATGGCCTCTATCACCTACCTATTATAGTTAAAAACGTCTTTATTTATTTAAAAATAACAATTCATAATAAAAGATATGAAAAATTAAACATAATAATGAAAATTTATTCCAGTTGACAAAACCGTACAAATATAATTTTTGGATTAAGGTGATAAAAAGTGGTTAAGGACTTTGGTCAATATTTTGGTTATGTGCGGTTATGTCAAAATATATAAACAATAACAACTGATAACAATGTCCAATGTTTTAAATAAATTGAAAAGTTCCAAAAGGAATAAGCTTCTGAAAATGTTGCATGTAATCTAAGTACCTCTAATTGGACTAAGTGTTGGAAAAGTTTATAACCATAAAAATAGCTGAATATTTTTATAGTTTTCAAAATTTGAACAAGCTTTGCTACAAAATTTAATTAAAGCTATCAACAGTTTGCAAGGTATTGAGTTAAGGAACAAGAAAATCACTAATCAGGGAAAAATCAATCAACAATCAACACTGGAAAACAAATTAAAAAAAAAATAGTCACAGGGATATATTAGCAACTTCCAAATGTATCTTGGCTGTTGACCATGAATATAAGAAAAAATGTTCTCTCGGCTGGCTCTGAGTGTTGAAATAAATCACGTTGAAAGGAAGTTTTCAATAGCTCCGCTCTTTAGGAATAGCTCAAGACGAAATCGATAGACCTACAAGTGGTCTATCTGTGGCAGACATATTCAGTTAGTCTTTATATTTCATTATGCAATGTTACAAGGTTCAACAACTTGCCAAAATGGTTAAAATTTATTTCCAAAATCAGTGCTCTTATTTAGTACAGAATTCTACGAACGACACAATAATTATAAAGTCCTAACTTTGAACATAAAAGAAAATCTTATAAAACACATTTTTTTTATAAATCATCACTGTTTGGAAAAGTATATTTGTTTGTAAATATTTGTATTTATAGTTATATTTAATCCAGGTTAAGTGTCAGTGCGGAGTGTAATGTTAAGTATGAACAAAATCCGCCCATTCTGTTTATACGTTTGGTTACCGACCCTAGTAGATAGGCAATTTATTATTAGGTACTTTTAATTTAGATTTTGGATTAATGTTTTTGTATATGACTGGGCTGTTTAGTAATAAAGTCAAAACTGTAACACGTGATTTTATTCTGGAAAGTATTTTTAAATTGAATCACGCACGTAGTTTGAGTGAAAATGTTTTAAGTAGTTCAAAAAACAATCACTATTTTTCATTGTTTATAGAATACAGCCTTTTAGTTAGCTCATACCGGGGCTCAGACAAAACTGATTAAATAATATGTCTTATTATTTTTTGAATTTTTTTTATTTCGACTGGTTGACTATCTCAAAAATTAAAGCCAATCAAGCAAAACGTGAGTAACATTTCGCTTTTTTAGAAGAACAATAACGCAAGTGAAAATTAATGATTCCACAGAAATAGCAAATAAAAAAAATGTAATATGAAACTTATAACTAAGGCGTTAAGGAAAAGTTTGGAAATAATCGAGATAGCAAATTTATTTTAGTTTTAGACAACTACTTTATTTTATTCTTTTTAAATTGAAGATTTATAGGCTGGAGAAGCGATTTGAAATCGGTAAAACGATCGCCCAAAAACGCTCTTAAACCCCCGTCCACAAAATCACTGGTGACCAGTGTAATTTATAAATATATTCACACATAAATTAAACAACAAAATATTTAAGAATAGTAATATTAATAATTGTCATTGATTGAACTGAATATTCTGTCCAATAGGCTCTCGAACGAAGTCCTTTCCCTTTTTGGAATATCTTTCAAATTCAACAATTTTACATGTTTTGTTCCAACGCGGATTTTAATAATAGATTTATAAATTGTTTTTGTTTATTTGAATGTTAAAAGTTCTTAAAACTAACTTTAACATATATTTCCCATGCTGGCGTTTAGTGTTCAAATAATGAGACGATTAAACGAAAAAGGCTTATGAGAGCCAGTTGCCCATTTTTGGTACACATTTGTGCAAGACAACTTTACAAATGTTTCCTTCTTTTTCTCTTGTAGAAGATGGACACACCAGCTGTGGAGCGCACAATGATGGTGTTTTTAAAAGCCACGTCATATATTTGATTAGATAATTAACTTGATATAAGTGCCTTCAAGACTTAAGTCGTTAAGCGTTCAAGTTTGGATTTCCCAACCCGGATTCAATTACAGATAAAAACATTTTTTTTTATTTTGGAAAAAATATAAAAAATACAATTAATGCAATCTTTCTGCTAAATTTTATAGTATTTTGATAACAGTTCAGAAAAAATAGTAGTAGTCGGTAACTGAACTTTATGAAATCCAAAGTTGAGCACTTAACGTCCTGAGCAATGAAGGTTTATGTCAATGTTAATTATCTAATCAAATATGTAACATTCGCATTTTCTATAATTTATTTTTTAAGACGCCTTCGTTGAGCGCTTCATCACTGTAGGGCATGCAGGAAAGTATTTCCATGTACAAAAAAATAAATGAAAAATTTCTAATTTTGCCTTTCGAAAATAATACTCCTAAATGTACTACTGTGCTATCATAAATTGGTACTCGATTCGTTTTCAAATGGTGATAAAAGTTGAAAACTGAAAATTAGTGGCTTAAATGTTTTTATTACTTAGTATAATTTCACTAAAAGTGTTTGGTATTATAAGTTTACCTAACAGCAAAAAAAACTGTTAGTTAAATTTTGTCAGTGCCGATTTTAGTAAAATTATATTGAATAAAAAAATTATAACTACACCTTTATATTTACCCATTATTAATTTTTTAATTTTCAACTTAACATACTGTATTTCAGAATATTTTATCCAAGCATTTTTTATTTTTGTCTATTCGACTCATTTTGAACAATAATCTTCAGTTGTTCATGTCCTATTCTTAATTTGATACCATTATATATAAAAGTGAATAAAAATAAACAGCGTAAAATTCAAGTTTTAATTAACCATCAGCGATCAATCCAAAATCCAACCACAATATAGAAAAAAAAATGTTCCCCTATTATAGTAAAATTCCATCCAATCTTAAATCATTCAATCTTTTTCAAACAAAAACTGGTTTATTTTATTATATTGATTTTTTTGGTATTTTATGTGACCTTCAAATACCCTTTTGTAATAATTTGCAATAGTAAATATTAACTATACAAATACATTACCGAAGACAAGTATAAATGAAAAAGAAGATTTTAAATTATAATTCATACTCAAGCACAGACATGACCTAAAGACCTGACTTGGATATAAGTACAGTGTCGCCATCTACATTCTATATCCATAAGTCCATAAGGTTACCCTACTATATAATCTTCATACAACGTAGACACTAATCACAACA